TGGATGAAAATTTTAATGAGCCCTTTTTGCCTGCACTAAACTTAATCTTATAGGTGAACACTATAATATATATAGGGTACCTACTAGCTATCTAATTTAGTTTTTACACAATGTATAAATCCTAGCCTATTGTTCTTAATGTTTGAACCTGAAATAACACACAAACGTACAGGAGAACAAAATAAGGAAGAAATGTATGGAGACAGTGACATTATCAAGATAGTGGAATGGGGGTCCCTATTTTTATATTCCCCTGCAGGAATAAAAACTAGTCAGCCATCCATCAACTAAAGTAACTTTATGAGAGAACCAGGCACAGTGGCTCGTGACAGTATCTCTTCCATTCAGGAGCCTGAGGCAGGAGGACTGCTTCAGACCAGGAGATCAAGAACAGCCTGGGCAATATAGTGAGCTTCGGGATACAGGGCATTATAAAACCTTGCTAAAACCCAAGATCGAGAAGAGTCATTTTGTGAAGGCAGGCCCTTTGGTTAATAAGGTGTCATATTATCCAAAGCAATCTGTAAGTTAACTCAAATCCCTGTCAAAATCCCTGTCTCAGTTTTCATAGTAATAGAAAATACAAGCCTACAAAGTAGGCTGAATGGCCAAACCAATCATGAGGAATAAGAAAAAAGCTGGGGACATTATACTTGTGACCCACAGAAAACAGTTCAAAAGTCACTGTTCGTAGATAACCTGGGGAAACCCTGCTAGGTACTCAATGGGAGCCACACTCACCCACACATCTGCTATTAGGCCCACCATATAGCAGAACCTTGCCCTAGTGCCTGCTCCACAGAACAAAGCCCTGAAGACAATCCAGTCTGCCCAAAAACATGACAGGACTCACAACCACCTGTGCTCCTGGTAACAAGCCCACTAAAGGTAAAACCCACTCCAGATTCAGCAGCCACCTTGTGATCCAGCTACAAGCCTTTTTACTGCAAACCCAGTAAAGATCTTATCAGCCTTGAGATCCAACAGAGGAAGATCTTTACCTGCTGAAACCAGTTTATAAAAATGAAAAGAGGTGTTTACTCCTTCAAATGCACAAACACCAATGCAAGTCTATATTACACCCATTCTAACGGTCCTATTTTAACATAGAACTGGAAGTCCTGCATAGAATAATTAAGTCCTACATCAAACAATTAAGCAAGAATATCGAAAAGATCCAAATTGAAAGGAAGAAAAAAAGTCACTGTTTGTGGATGACATAATCTTATATATAAGAAACATAAATAGTACATTTAAATAGTGGACTTTAATAAATACAGTCAGTAAAGAAATAGAATATACAATTAACATACAAATATCAGTTTCGTTTCTATATGCTTGAGCAAACCAGTAAAAAAGAAAAAATCTCATTTACAATAGCAACAAAATAGTAGATTTCTTAGCAATAAATTTAACCATTGTGGTGAAAGATCTTTACAATAAAAAATAAAAGATATTGATGAAAAAAATTAAAGAAGATACAAATAAACATAAATAGATTACATGTTTATGAATTAGAAGAATATTGTCTAAGTGACATATTATCCAAAGCAATCTGTAGATTATTTCAACTTCCTATCAAAATTCCTGTGCCACTTTTTACAGTAATAGAAAATAAAGTCTACAATGTATATAAAACTGTAAGAAATATTGAATGGCCAAAGCAATCATGAGGAATAAAACAAAATCTAGGGACATTACACTTTATTATTTAAAACTACATTTCAAGACTACAGTAAACATAATAGAATGGTATGTTTATAGGAACCAGCACAAAAACCAATGGAACAGAATACAGAGCCCAGAAGTAAATCTATGTGTCTAAAGTTAATCTTTGACAAGGGCACTATGAATACGCAATACAGAAAGTATAGCCTTTTCAATACTTGGTGCTGGGAAAACTGTATACTCACAAGCACAATAATAAAATTAGATCATATTTCTTATGCCACACACAAAAATTGACTTAAAATAAAGACTTAAATTTGATACATAAATCCTTAAAAGAAAATATTTTAAAAAGCGTATGAAAAGCCTCCATGATACTGGCCTTGGCAATGATTTTTTAAATATGATATCAAAAGTATTGCAATAAAAGCAAACATAAAGTTGTAGTGTATCAAAGTATTGTGCACAGCAAAAAATAAGAAAACTTTTAAGATGGGATAAAATATTTGCAAACCATATATGATAAGAGGTTAGTATTCAAAATATAGCAGAAAGTCATACAAATCAGAAACAAAACAATAATAATAATAATA